TCTATAATAGTTACATATCTATTCTAAGTTCTATCAAGAATTGCATCTATAATTTTTTCCTTTTATAGATAACTCAAACAAATCTAAAAGTCAAATTAGACAAAGATAATCCACAACTTGTAATATCAAATAAAATTTTCTACAAAGAAAAGTAGTCTACTCTCTATAAGGAAAATAATCAATGTTGAAAACTTAAAAATGAGTTTATAAATTGGTAATCTACAACCTTCAAAACACAACAATAGAAGTAGAATAATCCATTCACTTCTAATACAAAACAAAACAATAAATTAGCATTCTTATCAAACTATCTGGGACATAACTCTCAAGAAAATAAAAGATTGATATATTCTTATGTCACTTGAAAAGACTTAAGAATCATTTAAAGATAATATAATATTAAATTAAAATAGCTATTTATGAAGAAAAGAAGATTAAAAAGTCTTGAAATAAGACTAAGAACTAGAAAGGAGTTGACAAGAATAAAGAAGGTTTTACTCTTGCTTCCATATATACTATCTAATCAAGAGCTATGTAGCACTGTTCTATAAGACTTCTAACACATGTCAAATTTGCAAGACATATGTCTTAACTTGTAAAGCAACTTTCTTATATGTATGCCATATTGTTAGCTTATATTACAAGCTATTCATTTGTGTAATACATAGCTAACTTGTTGGCAAAGTTTTTAATCTATCAATCAACTATAAACATGTATAAAATCAAATATGAGTCTATAAAGCTTCTAAAAACCTTTACCAAAAGATAATATCAAATCTATCTAAATTTATCTTCTACTTAGAACTTTTTATCTAGATAAATATGTATGACTATGATAGGAAGCTAGTCAACATTCAAAAATTTTAAGAGCTTATTCTCTCAATTAGTGAATTTAATTTTTTTCTAAATTTTTTGTGCTCTTTATTTGCTTGTAGATTGAAATATGGATGAAGTTTTACTTGAGATTAACAATTCAATTTATAGTTATTGAGATTATAAAATAGCTACAAGAATTAGTTAAGATTTATTTAAGTTTTTTTTTTTTTTTTTTAAGATTTAGGATTTGATAAAGATTTTATTAGAATTTTTTAAGGATTTATTTAAGATTTGATTTAGGATTTAGGATTTAATTTAGGATTTATGATTGATTTAGGAATTATTAGGATTTATTTACGATTTGATTAGGATTTGGTTTAGAATTTAGAATTTTTTTAGGATTATTTTAAGATTTGATTAAAGATTGATTTAGGATTTAATATTTTATTAATATTTTTTTAGGATTTAAAATTTAATTAGGATTTAATTAAGATTGATTTAAGATTTTATTAAAATTATATTAAAATTTTATTGGGATTCTTTTAGAGTTTTTAATATTAATATTTTATAATATTTTTTCTAGATTTTCTTAGATTTATTATTATTATTATTATTATTATTATTATTATTAAAATTTCTTTATTTTATTTTTTAAAAATTAATTATAATTTTTTTTAAGGCTTCTTTTGAATTTGATCAAAGATTGATTAAAAATTTTAAGATTTAATTGAAGTTTATTTAGGATTCTAATAGAATTATTAGGACCTTGTTGCAAATTCCATTTTATCTTCTATAGTCTAGTGCCTGGTGCATTCTCAAGCAAACTTCACAAAATACGACAATATTTTGTAAACTCCTTTTGAGGTTTTATAAACTTCAGCAAATATATTATTCATATTTTTTAAACTCCATTTCACGTTTTTTTGATGGAAGTATTTGGATTGATGAAAACAAAGATATGCATGCACTCAATGAAATTGTTGTTTTGTCTTAGTGGTTTGTTTAGTTGTCACCAATTGAGCAATCTTTTTCCAACCTTTTTCTATTTCTTTCATCCATGCTGTAATTTTGTAAGCTATATGGCTTACAAGATGAGCACTATTGTTTCATATATTTGCATTGTTAAAGATCTTAAATTAAGATTCTAACTAGACTTAATAGCCAAATAAAGATATGTAATTTTTTAAAACCAAATTTTAATTAAATATAAAAAAATTAATAATTATTATTATTTAAATATAATTTCTATATTAAATTAAATTATATTATATTATATTCCAAAAAAAAGTGTTTTTCTTTAAAGACAAAATTTAATTAATAAGATTTACATATTATTAGCTTAAATAAGAAGGTTTGATTTAGATATAATAATAATAATAATAGTATATCTAAAATATATTATTTCAAAAAAAGATGATTAAAAATTATAATAAGAAAAAATAAGAAATATAAAATTCAAAATTTTAAAAGATTGCAATATAATCCATGAATAATAAATAATAAAATAAAATTATTAATCCAATGAATAAAAAATTAAATAAAGAATTTTAAAAAAATAAACTTAATAAAAAAAGAGTTTATAAAAATTGATTGTTAAATTTTTAAAATATGAATAAGTTAAAATAATATGTTAAATTATTCAAAAATACATATTAAAACAATTAAATACAAGTAATAGAGAAGTCATTAATTTCTTTTAAATCAATGTCATTAATATTTGATCTATTCTTTTTTCTTTGAATATATATAAAAAAGTGGTTTTTAGATTACATAATTATTTTCATATGTTAAAAAAATAATAATATAGAATCAAATTTTATATCATAAAACATAAAATTTTCATTAAAGGTGTCAAAGACAAAACTTTGAGTCTTAATCACAAAAGGATGGTATTATGCAAAGAAGACTAAGATACAAAGAAGATACATTAGAATAAAATAGAATAAATAAATAGTTATTTCTAAGAAATATAAAGACTTAAAAGCCAAAAAAATATAACTTAAAAAAAATTAGCATGATTAAGAATGGTCGTAATATGTATGTACTATTGCGTAGTGGCTTTCTAAAGATCATGTGGTTATTGAAACAAGTTGCCAATTTGTACAATATGTGACCAACTTATCAAAACATATATCTAATATCAACAACACCTTATGATGGTTATAGATTTAAACCACATCTAAGAAATATTTAGGATGCTACTTAAAGAAGATATTATCAAATTAATATACTTCTACATATTATTACCTATTTCTCTTTCTTTGAATAATATAGCCATGTATTACATTATCCCTTGTTCTAAAGATAAGTCTCACAAGAAGTAGTGAAATTTCTTTTTAAGTTAATGAAGTCTAAAATTTGTTGAATGGTATTAATAAAAAAAATAAATAAAATAAATAAATTCTATAAAAAGGTAGTTGGTAAGTCTATTTATCCATCAATAGTATCTTATATCATGGCATAAGGACCACTTTAATATTTGATAAATATTAAGGCCTTTATAGGTACCTTCAAACAATATACTTTATATTCCATTAAATATAATATCCATATTTAATTGTATGACTAAAAATCAAAAGTCACTTTCAAAATCATAGTACAAATTTCTTGTATTTTTTTGTCTATTTAAAAAAAACATGTATCTTCTAAAGTTCTTCATTATATTTTCAATATTGTATAGATTATGACAATTTAAGGCTTTTATTTTTAAAATTTATAAGTAATAAATCTTAAAATATATTTTTTAACTATTAATTTTCTATTTTTAAAAAAATCTATAATTTTATTCTTAAACTTATTTTTACTTAATTTTTATCAGCTTTTGTTAATTTTTAGTCTTTGATTTGAATAGATGTAGTTGAAAAAAAGTAACAAATTTTGATGTATTTATGTTTCTTAAATGGCTTCTATATGCAATTACTTAATATCATATCCATGCCAATATACAAGATATTCTAATTTATTTTACTTTCATCTTGAATTTCAATCTTTATCTACTTTATTAAATATTACTAAGATAATTAGTCAAGTTCCTAGTTGTTATTTGACTAATTAACATAGCAATAGTTAATAGTGCATTACAAACATTGATCTAATATTTGATTCACATATTTTATTTCAATTTTGAAGAAGTCTATAGGATCTATAATATGTATTATTTGCTTTAAAAAAAGAATTAGAAGATTAAATAAATATTTAGATAAATTATCATATTTGAAGCCACCAAAAATCTCTTGAAATAAGCTTTAAATTGTTGTTATATCTAAAATGTCTTGTTGCTCAAAATCTTGGTGCACATTATTAAGTTTTTAAAAACAAAACATATGCATGTTAAGTATGTCATCAAAAAACATTATTACATGTAAAAGTCTTTTTAATTTTAATTTTTCTAAAAATAAATTTAAAAAAATAAAAAATAAAAAGCAAGACTGGAAAGATAGAAAGAATCTTCTCAAAAATATTTTAGGCAATTGCATTTGTCATATCCAAAAAAAATTTAAATCTAACATAAGTTGATACTAAAGTCAATATCTTGAATTTTTTTTGTTAAAGTTCCAATTTTTTTTGATCTGTTATGAAGGTAAAATTCACTTCTAACTCTAAATTACAAGATGGTCTCAATTTTCTACTAATGCTATATTTGTGCCTTAATTTCTCCTCTCAATACTTAATCGCTTCTCCTCAGCACTTCGCCTTAGTCCTCTTCTGGCTCTTGCCAAGGCCCCTTGACCTCTACTCCCTTGGCCCTCACTTCTGAATTTTGATAGCAAGTGTGGACAAGGGTAAGCATATGAAAAATTGTTAAAATTGCCCAAAATTTCTCTCATGAATAAAAAAAGAAAAATTACCATGACATTGGATAAGAACCTATTCGTGTGCAGCATTAAATAACGTCTTTTTCAGAGAAGTAACTTTAAAGTAAAGTGTGCACAGAAGTTGAAAGTAACTGCAAAATGAGTGCCATCCGAGGCATAGTTCATCCAGAAAGCGGTCAACGCCGTGAGACAAGTCAACGACCGGAAGTCGTACCATACAACCCCCGCCGCGAGAAGGGGACCCCGAGTGCGAGTGGCATCATGCCCAAAGCCTGGCCAGCCAATCATGCAGGGGGAGGACGGGTATGGGGGGGGGGGGGGGGGGGGGGGAGACAGGGACCAGTTTGGGCGACCCGCGGCCTTCCGCTCCTGGTCCACTGTCTGTCTCCCCGTCCCCCTTTGCTTTGCTTTGCTTTTCCCCCCCTCCTTTCGTTCAATGTGGCTTACCATTTGTAGTTGCAGCTTCTGAAGTAGCAGGCAAGGAGACTGTCACGGAAATGTGTGAGCTTCTCAGTTGCAGCACGACTTAGGCTTCGCCGAATGTTGTGAGTGTTTCGATGATCTGTGTGTGGATATATATAAATATACATAGATATGTTTTATTGTGGCTGTCAAAATTTGAAAATTATGGCCTCGAATGCGAGCCTTGAGGTTGCACAGCAGGACTCTGGCGAAGTTGTTATGGTGATTTTGTTTTTTTAATTTTTTTTCTTGTCTTTTAAAGTTTTGAATTTTTGTAGTTTGGAATTGGATAACAGTATTTTTTTGTGGTTGCATTGTGGAAGTTATCGGTGACTTAATTTCGTTGTGCCAGGGTTTCGAATTTGGGATTATTGGGACGTTAGTTGCGATGGAGGGTACCTCGGGGGAGAGTGAAACGCAAAGGAAGAAGGAGCTCACGGTCAACGTGCCAGTGCCAGAGGAGAAGCCTTTCACTCTATGGCCAGGGAAGTATCATTCACCTGTGACTGCCGCTTTATGGCACGCCAGCTCCAGTTTCGCTCAGAGGGCTCGAAATGTATCAATGGATAGCCCCGCACAGATTACTCTGCAGAGCAAGACTCCCGAGGAGAATCGCACGAGCGTCGTCTACAAATTTTCTTCCGACACCAGTCTTCGAGAAGAATATCGTAACCCCTGGAATCTGTTTCGTATCGGAAAGCTCTTGGAGGATCTGGATGCTCTAGCAGGAACTATTGCCGTAAAGGTAATTGCTCAATGTCCTGAATGCCCTTTGGCAGAAATTCTTCCTCTTTATGGTTTGCGGCTTTAAATCGCTCTTATTTAGTCTTGTCTGTGCTAGATGTCTTCGTCTGAGTGACCTGATGCTAAAATTGTCGTCGCCATGGCAGCACTGCTCTGACAGTGACCACACGACAAGGCCACTGTTATTGGTAACTGCCTCAGTGGACAAGATCAGCACGAAGAAGCGCCTTCGTGTTGATGTGGATCTTGAATTAGCCGGGTCCGTAACTTGGGTGGGCCGATCGTCTATGGAGATTCGCATGGAAGTTATTCAACCAGTTCGAGGCGCGTTTCAAGCGATCCTGTGCTTGTTCATGAAGTTTTCAAGTCGTCAAGAAATGAATTTGATGAAATAGCTGGAATTTCTCTTGCTCCTCAAAGTGCTGCAAACAGCCTTGCATGTGTTTGCGACAATTCGTTTCGTAAATGAATCTTGGTGACGTAATGTTGCCTTGACAGTGAACCGACGAAACTATTTCGTAGAGATAACGAGATGTGTGCATGCAAACAGAGTTGCGGGAGAAGGACGACGTGGCGCTCATAGCGAATTTTACATTTGTCGCTAGGGATTGGAGAACACAAAAAGCTGCTCCTGTTAACCATTTGGTACCTCAAACTGAAGAAGAGAAGCAACTGTTCGCGATGGGCGCTGCTCGGGATGCTCACCGCAAGAAGCTTCGGATGGGAAACCAATTATCCTCCACGTCTCCTTTTGCGAAGGAGTACAACGACCGTCTCACGCAAATCTTAAGAGAGGTGTGCCTAATATCGACGCATCCAAATCATGTTTGCATTACTATTTTCACTGTGAATATGCTTGGCTATGGTCTACAGCGCAAGCCACAATTCTCATACGCCTTAGTTGGAATAATAGGGACGGGTGCTGTGTGAAATGCCAGCATTAGGCGATCGGAACAGTATTCTGATGCGAGATACGAGGTTAGAGAACGCCATCATATGCCAACCCCAACAACGAAACATCCATGGCCGTATTTTTGGTGGATTTTTAATGCGTAGAGCTTTTGAGATTGCTTTCTCCACAGCATATGTCTTCGGCGGTATCCGGCCTCTGTTTTTGGAAGTTGATCATGTGGATTTCAGACGCCCAGTGTGTTCCATCTCCACGAAATTTTCCTTTCTTTCAGCTTTGGCATTTTAGAATTCAAGTGATTGCTTTGCGCACCTTGTTTTTATCATGCGTCGATTGTAATTGGGTTTTATGTGCAGGTGGACGTGGGGGATTTTGTTCGGCTGAAATCTTGTGTGCTGTACACGGAAACAGAGAACGTCGAGCAACCACGCATCCACGTGGAAGTTATAGCCCATGTCACCCAACCGGAACTGAAGTCTAGCGAGGTATAGCCTTAGCCTCTCGTTTTATAGGGAAAAATATTATATAGAATTTACTACAAGTTGTAGTGTCGATGCTTTGGTAATTCTGAATGATTTTTTCCAGATTTGAGGATATCTATAATCACTCCACTAAATTGTTGTGCCCCTGTTCGCAGGTGTCGAATACATTTTATTTCACATTCTCATTAGATCCCGAGTGCCAAGCACCTGGTGTGGATCGGACGGTGCGCCGTGTTCTTCCTGCTACTGAAGAAGAGGCACGCACCTACCTTGCACGTTACAAGGCTGATCATATTGTACTTCCATCGGGGCAGATGTGATGAAAAGTTCATCAAATGGCATCCTGGTAGTTCTGAGTGGTGTAAGTTATGCCGGATTCAGAACTTCGGTTGTTTGTGCTGCTCTTTTTCAGATTCTGAAAAAAGCCCGTTGTTGGATACAATTGTTTTTCGAAGGAAGGAAAATATTGTCACAACCAGTTGGTTACTATTAGCTATAAACCTAGTGGTTAATATCTCACTTAGCTCTGTCTTCAAGCAGTCAGTGATAGATTGAAGAACGTGTGTGAGAGATAATTGCCTCCATTTCCGTGTTTTTATTAATGTGTTAAATTGCCACTAGATCCTGATTGTGGAAACCTTCTGCAGACATTTGTCCGGTGATTAACTCTGCTAATTTTTAAACCTAGGTATATCTCTTTCAATGTAATCGATCAAATGTCTTTCTGCCTCCACTAAACTCTGCAAGGCTGATATAATATACATTCTTGAAGCTATTGCAGCATTATGAAAGCAAAACACAACACAATAGCTGATCAGAAACTAGATAGGTCTATGGCAGTGTCACTTGAATAAAAAGATGCACATGAGCCCGTTAAGTATCCTAACTACGTCTTATCCCAGTATACTCAGAATGGATTACAGAACAAAAATTATAACAGAGCTCCCGAAACAAATGTTCTGAGGTAAGAGACAGATCGTGTACACAGGTCAAACTGTGCTCAGCAGGCGAAAAGAAGGGCAGAGAGCATGGAATTGGCAGATCACCACGCCACCCTCACGAACTATGATGTTAGTGGCCATGTATTACGGTCTTAATCTGATCTGAGCGCAGACGAAAACTACGGCCGCCTTATTTCGCACTTTACTTCCGGAACTTTCAAGCAATTGTGAGTGCTCAAGGTGAAAGATAAGCTCGAGAAATCGGTCACAACCTGCAAAGAATCTGAATCACCATGTTCATAAGAAAACGCCGAGAGTTTTTCGTTCTAAAACCACCAGCCTTCCATCGCAATCTTCAAATTCCTTCCATGAAGGTCGCAGATACCACATTCAGGATTGATATCAGGTCTGAACTTCAACGTACCCGGATTGGCATCATCCGAGACAATTTTAAAGTACATTTAGTACTTTATAGTAATTTGAGACAGGGACCGGATAAGGCATAAGCTAGATGTGCTGGTCCACAGCCTCAGGTTCGTGCGTTTCACAAAGGCAAGGCGCAACAGTGAGGAAGGTTGATATCCGGATGGTACCCAGTAAGCAGAAGTGCCTTATCCTGTGTGGACAAATGCTGTGCTCTCTCTCCGGCAACAAGGAGGAGGGTCAGAGCGCATCAGAATCACTTTTTGCGAGTGAAGAATTGCTTGCCGCGTCCTCGCCATGGAAACTGTTTTGGCGTCCTCGCTTTCTGCCTCCGTAGCACCCCAGGCACTTGCCTCGCGTCAGGCCCAACTGTCGGGCAGCTCCTTTGCATGCTCCTCTCAGCAGTCTACTGCTTCTGCAGCCGGCCCTATGCTGGTGCAAATCCGTGCCAGTAAGTTTGTCCATCATGGTCCCATCTTCTTTGCGCCTCTGAGTTTCGTCTTTGGGTTTATTTTCACCATTATTTTTACATACGTGCTTGCATTTAAACCGTGACCAGAGGAGTACTTGCATTATATTTGTTGTCACATGGTTTCTCGGGAATTGGAAATGTGCTAGGTCGGCGGTGCGACTTGACAGGCAAGAAGGCTAATAATGGGTACAAGGTTTCGTTTTCCAACCATAGAACTAAACATTTGCAGCAACCGAATTTGCAGTACAAGCGGCTCTGGTGGGAGGAGGGCAAACGCTTCGTGAAGCTTCGAATTTCAACGAAGGCTTTGAAGACGATTGAGAAGAATGGCCTGCAGGCTATGGCCAAGAAGGCAGGTATCAATTTGGCTGACTACTAGGTTAGTATCGATTCTTCTCCATTCTCTTGGAAAACTCTTGAGTTGGTAGCACTTTTTGAACACGTACTCAAACAAAAAAAATTGATATCTAGTGGTTGTTTGCTTAGCAAAGTAGATTGAGCGTGTAATGAAATCCGAGGCAATAATGAAGTCCTCTTTGTCTATCTATTGTCCAAGGCTGTTTTGTAAGTTCTATCCCAGCAACATGTTTCGAGACCAATGACATGACCAAACTTGATGTCTATAAATTCGACACGCAGAGAAAAAGTTCGTAAAATACATGTTTATTAGTCAAATCTTCATTATTTTATCTGTGATGTGCACGAGCTGACTTGGGAACAAATGACACTGCTGAGATTTGCATGTAGTGAATCTTGACCATAAGAATGCAGCCCGAAAACAGTAGTGAACTCGCTCCGGGTGTATGTTTTGTTTACAACCTGGGACATTTTTTGTGCGGTGTTCAGTGTCACCTTTACATCAAGGATGACCATTAAAGAAGGTCAAAGACATAGTCAAGTCACTTGGCAGTGATCAACATATGGCCCGTGCTCAATCCTGGTCTTCATATGTATGTGGGTTCCTGTAAAAGAGAAATACATATTATCTTTGCATGAACAACATTAATTAGCGTCGATTATTGGATGTGACAAACTGTGTCAGTTGATACACCTGTAATCGAAAGGAAAGTTGGTGTGAAGAATTTCCCTCTTGTTATTATGACCGTAGTATCACTACGGTTTAGTTCTAGATGGTGCACTGCAGCCAAGATTGGTGCAATGTCTTTCAAAAGCTCACCTTTGCAGTTGAGAACGACTACGTGGATGTAAGACGATGTGCATTGCAATGCATTTGTTCATCAGCGGAGACCACGGGCCGTAATGAATGAATCGGTCATGACCTTTCTCCGCTGTCTTCTAACTAGAATGTATGTTGGAAGTGTAGGGTCATATCCGTTTGAAGTTGTTGACCTAAATAGTACAATGACATAGTACCTCAATCTTGAAAAGAAATCTGAACACTTAAGAACGTGTGTGCGTTTTACATGAGAACAGTATCGTTTTTCACCATTAGAAGGCGCTTTATGTTGATGAAACGAGGGAACAACCCAGTTTATAATATCAAACGAAAACGGGGGTGAAGTTCATCACTATTGGTTCAAACATTTGAATCTCAATGTTTTGCAACTGACATATTTCATATTTCTCTTAAATGAAACAAATCCAGCAGACTATAATTCTTTACATGATTACATCTACCTATACCAATTTCTAAATACGCATTCTGCACACTAAAATCGAATTGCACCAAAACTTAGCCCAATGCAGAATACAACGTAGTTTGCATTCAAATAAACTGGCTTGTGGCATTATTGCTGAGAGAAAAGCCATGTGCATCTCTGAACATAAATAAATAATAAGAGTTATAGTGACATTTAAACCATACAGATAAGAAATATAATCATTTTTATATTTTATTCTTTGTAGATTTTTTACATATATACATTAAGTTATCATGTTGATATAATAACATTATTAATCGTGTTAATACAACAACAAACTAGTATTAGGGTTGAAGTCAGTTGGAAAGAGAGAAGGCATTATGGTAGTAGAGTCATGCAAGAAAATTGGACCATGGGAGATATGGTGAAGCAATCCTAGATGGAGGTTTAAATATAACATGTCCTACACTACATAGCTACTCAACAATGGCAATTAGAAGCCTTTAGGACAAGGAAATTGACATTTGTTAAGTTGAAATTGAGCAAGCTCGATACATATTTTGAGACTTCATGGCAAGAAGATGTATATCAATGGCTCTTTAGCATGCGACAATACCTCCAGCTATATGAAGCAAATACCACCAAAAGAATTATATATGCAACCAACTATTTAAGAAGTGCGGCAGCCATTTGGTGGCAATATCGAGCTCAAAACTATAGAGCTAAAGGTAGATTTTATGATTGAGAGGAATTTGACATCAAGCTTAGGAGTCAATTTTGGCCTATTAATGTGGAGAAGTTAATTCACAATTAATTGACTAACCTTACACAATTTAGATTAATATAAGATTATGTCTCCTGATTCAACAATGATAATGTTTTCAAATTAACAATATTTCAAAGGTGGAAATGATAGATCAATATGTACAAGGATTGAAACATATAGTTTATTAATAAATAGAATTCAAGGATCAATAAACATTTGAAGAGGCAATTAGGATTGCAGAGAGGGTTGATGCTATAGATTTCAAAAATCATGGAGGACAACCTATAGCGTGGAGTCATATGCCACTATTCAATACTATGGCACAACAACCAATGTTGATAGAGATTTATGCCCTACAAGGACCACTAACACTACAAAAATAACAAATATTAGTACAAAAGGGATTGTATTTCTACTACTAAGAGCTAAGCCATTAGTTTGGAGATTGTTCAAAATATCAAAATTCAAGCACCAACAAATCAAGGTGGAATCACAATCTTAAAGTTCATGAAGTTAATATAAAAGAGGAGCAAGAAAACAGATGTAAGGAGGTATAGATAAGATATTTGTATTGTTGACACATAGAGATAGATAGTTGGAGCCATATTTACAAAGTTTATAGAAGTTTCTAAAATTGACGCTAAGTTAGTGGATTATGTAGGATCTGCCATGGAACATTCTAAAAGAACTTAAGGCAATTATTAGATGGAGCCTACCATGGAACATTCTAAAAAGAACTTAAGATATCTATGTAAGGTCCACTATTAAGAACATTCTAAGAAGTTTCAAGATAGTTGGACAAAGTATAAATAGAAATAGCTAAGGTCATTTGGATATTTGGTTAGGTATGACTTTGGATCCTTTCTCTTAGTAAAGTTTGGTTTTGCATCTTCCTATTCAGTTTTATTTTGTTCTATTTCATTTTGCTCAATTTTATCTTTTATGTCCTAATTTGTTTAATTATATTCTATTTTATTGTTGTCCATTTTATCTTACTTTGTAATAGGATTTATGTTGTTGTGGATTAGAAGGGCCTTAGATTTTTGAGATAGTCCGGTCCCGTTTTATTGATATTAGAGCAAGTGATAGATTATTCTTTGATAGAGTATTAATAGCCAACATCTAGTTTAAGATTAATTGTTGTGGTTATACTATGTACTGTATTGAGGCTACTATGAGCTACTCTTAAGAAGTCAATTGAAAGAAGAGAAGGAATTATAATAGTAGAGTCCAGCAAGGAAATTGTAGTATGGAAGATATAGTGGAGCAATCCCAAATGGAGGCTCAGATATAACACCTCTTAGGTCAGATAGCTACTTTACAAGGATAAATAGGAGCCTCTAAGATAAAAGAATCGACATGTGTTAAATTGAAATTGAGTAAGTCTGATACATACTTTGGAACTTCAAGGTAAGAAGATGTATGCCAATGATTCTTTAGCATGCAACAATACTTCCAACTATTTGGGACAAATACCATTGAAGGAATTATGTATGCAGTCAACTATTTGAAAGATGGGACAATTATTTGATTGTGACATCAAGTTCAAAGCTATAAAGCTTAAAGTAGATTTTGTGCTTAAAAAGTATTTGAGACCAAGTTTAGGAATTAATTTTGACCTATCATGCTAAGAAGATATCACGTAATTAATTGGCAAATTTAATACAATCTAGGTCGATACAAGAGTATATATTCCAATTCAAGTCCTTATGTCTCGAAATTAACAATGTTTTAGAGAGAGAGATGATGGATTTGTCTCTACGAGAATTGAAACTTGAAATCTAGGAAAAAGTAGAACTAAGGGATCCACAAACATTTAAAGAGGCAATTAGGATTGCAAAGAAGGTCGATGCTATAGATTTCAGAAATCATAAAGCTCAACTTATAGTACAAAGTCCTATGTTGCTATCTAATACTATGGCAAAACAACCAATTCCAATAGAAATTGATGCCTTGCAATGATTATTGATACTACAAAGACAAAAAATATTAGCATAAAAGGAATTATATTTTTATTATTGAGAGCCAAGCCATGAGATTGGAGGTTGTTTGAAACATCAAAATTCAAGCATCAATAAATTAAAGAGGATTTACAATCTTAAGATTCACTAAGTCGATAATAAAATAGAACAGGGAAATAAAACTCCCTTATAAAAGTACTGAGTGCAACTACTGGAGATAGATGTTGTCTTTCAAAGACATACGACATGGCCTTGGACAATTATACAAAGGATCGATTGGTATATCTAACAAGATGACTTAGAGGACATTCCTATGGAATGCTTGCTAATTGCGGCTCTACAAAAAATTGCATCTTGACTGAAATTGCCAAATAAATTGAAATTAAAACCAAGATAATTAAAAGAGGAAATATATACCTTACACATGACAGAAAATAAATTGAATGAGACATGTGAAGAAGAAATCTTCAGGTTGAGTGACAAATATGTTTGAAGAGAAAAGTTCAAGGTAATAAAGCAAAGATATGATGTTATCTTTAATATACAATAGCTAAAGATGGAAAATAAGTAAGTTGATTGGCTAACAAGGAGAATCTCCTTTAAAGATAGTAGACACAAGATGATTCTTTGTACCTTCACATGGAGTGAGGTAGAAAAACAATCTGCAGCTAAAGACTTATTTGTAGGAATGATCTTTATGAAGAAGCAAATATAGCATAAGCAATCAATATATATGGTAGTTCCAAATCTTGCATTAGTGGTGAAAAAGACATAAAATAGAATAGAATGGATAGAATAACTCATATGGAAGTATTAGGATGTCTTTCTAGTTGACCTACCTCATAGTATGTCTCTTAATCGAGGTGCCTCCTTCTAGATAGAACTATTATCTGAGACCAAACTGGCAAGTTGGCTAATTTATTGCCTAACACCAAATGAACTTGAAGAGCAACAAAAGATATTGGAAAAATTCTTTGAGAAGGGTCTCATTTAAGAAAGCACATCACTATGGGAAGCATCTATATTCTTTGCACTCAAGAAGGATGGTGGACTTTGGCTTTGCTTCAATTATCCCTCAATAAGCAGACTATTAAGAATGCATATCTACTTCCACACGTAGATGATTTTCTTGACCAACTTTGAAATGCAATCATCTTTAGCAAATTGGACCTTCAGATTGGCTATAAATAGATACCTATTGGAAGAGAGGATATAAAAAAGATGGTATTTTGTCTGTATTATGGATATTTTGAAT